GTGGTGTGATAGAGCTGAGGCAGACCAGTGCAGTCCCCTGTCAGGGCTTTGCAAGGGAGAGCAGGAATAGTAGCTTGTTTGTGCAGAGAGGGGAAACAGATCTGCTTTTCTGGCCATAAGTACCCACAGAATCCACCACCTCACCATTTGGTCTCCAGCGAGGTTAAACCTTGCAGAGATTATGTCCTAATCCCAAAGGCTCATGGTTTGAGGTTGCTGGGAGCAGTTATCCCAGCATCACTCAGGATCAGATGCAGAGAACTGTTGGCAGAGGGTTTCAAAGCCATCTTTCCATGTCCTCGCATTTAAAACCCCTCCACATTCAGACAGCTGACTTGTCAGGATCAGCACCTGAGTTTCCAGTTCCTGATTAACAGGAACCCTGGTTTTCTCTGAGTAAATTAAAAAAAATCACCAATTTTCAGATTAAAAAAGTAACTCAAAATCCAATTTTTTCTGTGATTAAAATGAAACACCACTATGTCTATCTAGCTAGCTATCTTAGTAGTGTTTCATTTTAATCACAGGAAAATGTGGATTTTGGGTTACTTTCTTTTATCTGAAAATTGGAGATTTATTTTTATTGGAGAAATCCAGGATCCCAGCTGATTACAGACTTCCCAGTGGTAGGGTGGCTTCATAGTCTAATGACTGGGTTTAAGCTTCTTGGGTTCCTTAGAAATGCAGACTCTGATGCTGGCAGGCTCCAGTTAGCTCCAGCAGTCTTTATGTGGATATAAATGGTCCCTGCAGTATTGCTGGGCTGGGTGTGTCTTTTAAATGAGAGTTTTGTAACCTAAATCCTTGCTCTGCTTGGGTGTGAAGAGTGCCGCTGCACTCTCCTTGCTTACCGGGTTTGCCTTAATCCCCTGAGTTTAATGTTTCCATTCTCAGTCTCCCTCCCTTTTGCTGTGTTCACCATGGCTGCCATCCTCTTCCCCAGAAGTGGCCGCCTCTTCAGTAGGTGTAACGGGGTCCTTTGGGATGCCCTGTATAAAAGGAGAATTAAAGGAGGTTCTTGTTCTAGGGCAGAGAGGGGAGTGGGGCCACTTCAGTTCCCTGAAGCAGGTTTGGCTGGAGATTTGAGCTGTTCTGGAGGTTGTGGGGGGCGCTCTGGGACTACAGCTCTGGTGAGCATGCCCAGCACACTATTCTCAGAGCTGAGGACTTCAGAGCTGCAGTTCCTCCCACAATATGTTGTCTCCTCTGTGACATCCAAAACAAGTGGCCAGGCACACTAGGGACTTGGCCCATCCAGGAGCTTTTAGCTGCAGGTGTAACTAACCCACCCACCTTCTTTTGCAGAACTCAGATAAGTAGCATTTGTCCTCCATATCTGACAGTATCTTCCAGATTCCCCACTGGCCCTTGAAAGCCCCAGTAGCAAGGAGCTTTGACTGCAAACTTCCCAGCTTACCTGTGTGGCTCGTCCTGCAGGCCCATGGTCCTGATACCCCAGTTCAAAAATGGGCCTGATCCCAGGGTCTCTACCTTTCTAACCCCTGCACGAGGTAAGATTTCCCCCCAATTCATACCTCTTGGGTGACTCCCTTGTCCTATTGTCCAGTTTATGAATGCAGATGTGAATCTTGATTGGCCAGTAGCTGGGTGCTGTGAGAGGACTGTACCATTGGATCAATGGTGGTGAAGAGAGTTTCTCTTCATTAAAACTTTGCAAAGAAAAGTTTGTCATAATTGGAATTAATATATTATGCTCAAGCCTGACTTGTTTCACGCTGCCTGTTTGGGGGTGGGGGTGGGACTCTTCTCTCTCCTGACCATGAGGCACTAGGAAGTCCCTTCAAAGATGCACCAGGATTCATAGATTCATAGATTGTAAGGCCGGAAGGGACCTCAGAAGATTATCAGGTCCAGCCCCTTGCACCAAGTAGGAAAGATAACTGGGATCAGGTGACCCCAGCAAGGTGACCGTCCAGTCTCCTCTTGAAGATTTCCAGGGTAGGCGATTGCACCACCTCAGCTTATTCCACAGGCTGGACACCCTGGGTGTGAAGAAGTTTTTCCTAATGTTGAGCCTGAAATGGTCTTTTAGGAGTTTGTGACCATTGCTCCTTGTTTTCCCTAAGGGTGCCCTGGTGAACAGTTGTTCACCAAGCCCTTGATGTACGCCTCTGATGTAGCGGTAAGCTGCTACCAAGTCCCCTCTCATCCTTCTCTTTTTCAGGCTGAAGAGTCCAGGATCCCTCAGCCTTTCCTTGTATGGCTTGCTGCGGAAGTCTCTGATCATACAGATGGCCCTTCCCTGGACTCTCTTGAGCTTTTCCATGTCCTTGTTGAAGTGCGGTGCCCAGAACTGGATGCAGTACCCCATCTGCGGTCTCATCAATGCCGAGTAGAGCGGAAGAATCACTTCCTTGGTTTTCCTGGAGATGCATTGATTGATGCATGCCAGAGTGTTGTTTGCCCTGCTGGCTACAGCATCGCACTGCCGGCTCCTGTTCAAACTGGTCAATTATTACCCCCAGGTCTCTTTCATTCGTAGTGCTTGTCAGATTGGCGTTGCCAAGCCTGTAGGTGTGCAGAGGATTGTTTGTCCCCAGGTGAAGCACTTTACATTTCTTGATGTTAAACTTCATCTGGTTCCGATCTGCCCAACTTGCCAGCCTGCCTAGCTCTGCCTGTATCTGCAGCCTGTCTTCAAGTGTGACCACGCTTCCCCATAACTTGGTGTCATCCACGAATGTGGCCAGTGAGGTATTCACCCCCACATGCAAATCATTGATGAAGATGTTAAAAAGCCTGGGCCAAGCACCGACACCTGAGGGATGCCACTGGCCACTTCTTGCAAAGACGACACAGATCCGTTCAGCAGAATTCTCTGGGTCCTGCCCTGCAGGCAGCTGCCTACCCACCTGACTGTCTCGCAGCTAAGCCCACAATCTTCCAGTTTCCTCATGAGGACATCGTGGGATACCAGATCAAAAACTTTTTGGAAGTCAAGGTATACAATGTCAACCTCTTCTCTCTTATCCAGGTGGTGAGTTACCTGATCGTAAAAGAAGATGAGGTTGGTAAGACAAGACCTGCCCACTATGAAGCCATGCTGGCTGTCATTCAAAATCTTACCATATGCAAGCCTATTGCATATAGACTCCTTGATGAATTTTTCCAGGATTTTCCCTGGGATAGAAGTTAGGCTAATTGGCCTATAGTTACCTTGGTCCTCCTTCCTCCCCTTCTTGAGGAAGGATACAAAACATTGGCCCTCTTCCAGTTGTCAGGGACCTCTCCGGAGCGCCACAAGTTTTGGAAGAGCTTCACTCGCGGTTCTGCTATGACTTTGGCCAGCTCCTTCGGTACCTTCGGATGAAGTTCATCTGGTCCTTCTGACTTGTATGTCTATTTTTTTTAATTGATCACACACCAGTTTTACAGCAGCGGTAAGAAGGCAGTTATCTAAACCTTGCTCATTCTGTACCCTAGCTGGAGTGATTTTCCCCTTGGCCAGGTGAAATTCCGAAGCAAAGTAGTCATTCAGGAGTTCTGTTTTCTCCTGAGTATCAGTAACCAGCTGTCCTTAGTTGTTGAACAGTGCTCCCATACTCCCATGTGTTTTCCTCCTGATCCCTATGTACCTAAAGAAGGACTTCTTGTCCTTGATCCTGGTTGCTAATTTTAGTTCAGTTGCTGCCTTAGCCCTTCTAATCTGTTCCCTACAAGTGCAGGCCATTATTGTATTGTCCTCCATGGGGCACGCCCCAAGGCTCCGTTGTTTGTACACCTCTTTCTTCTTTCTTAAGAGGACCATGATTTCGCCTCTTTCTTCTTTCTTAAGAGGACCATGATTTCTCTGTTTTGCCTGCCAAGAAGGCTTCCTTGCCCTCTTGTGACCTTTCCTCTGCATGGGAATGGACTTTCTTTGTGCTTCAAGGATCGTTCCTTAAGGAACAACCACTCTTCATGTACTCCTTTTGCCTTCAGTCCCTAGTCCCACAGCACTTCTCCTACTAATGACCTGAGCTTGTAGAAATTTACATTTTTGAAGTCCAAAGCTTCAGTCCTGCTATCTAGTTTGTCTGCCCTGTGATGGACAGTGAACCTGATGGTTTCATGGTTGCTGTCGCCTGGGTTGCCCTCTATGTTTAAGTTGGTCACCAGGTCATCTCCTTTGGCTAGGACCAAGTCTAGAAGAGCATTACCTCTGGTTGGCCCCTGCACCTCCTGAGCTAAAAAAAATCTCTTCAGTGCAGGTCAGAAAGGAATGTGATCAATCCAGCTTGGCTGGAGAGGGCCTGTTATGGGTGGAGGACTTTACATTATATTCCTATGGGATGACCCACTGAGGGAATAATGTAGAGAGCTGGGCCTCTGGCTTTGTCCTTATAATGTGTGGCACATAAGAGCTCATGCAGAGGGGGAGGCTTGGTCTAAGCACAGGGTGGGGAGGCAGGACTCCAAGGTTCTGCTTCAGTTTTGCCAGCAGTTTGATCTGTGACCACAGGTTTTCATCTCTTTGCACTGCATTTCTCTAATCTCTGGGGGTGAGGAGTGGTCTCTGCCACTGCATTTGCTTCTGCAGAGCCAAAAGCCCATGAAAGAACCTAGAGAGTCAGGTGCTGGAGGGCTGCAGGGGTTGCTGTAATGTGGGAAAGATTGTGTGCAGCCCTGCTGTCTCCTGTGATCAGAGATAAACAGCTGGTTCCAGCTCAGTCTCCTGTCCTCCTGCCTCTGGCCTCAAGTGATTGTCAGTGACTAACCCAGTGTTATACTAGAAAGACTTCTCATTAGCCCAGGGACCCATAGGATGTGTGAAGGGTTTGGGCTTGCCAAGCTGGGCAGTGAGTTTTAGTGCATAGGGCATGGTGGGAATCTGGACATCCAAATTCTGCTGCTGGGTGGTTTAGGGCAAGATACTTCTCCTTTCCATGCCTCAGTTTCCCATCTGCGAGGAGGGGTCTCCTGCCTCCCCCTGCCCCTGTCTCTTCAGTGTCCCCCAGTGAAGGAGGCTGTCCCTCATAGTTGATGCCTTTGCTTTGCAGGCCACAGGCTCAATTCAGAGTAAGGTGCTGCCCAAGATGAGCTCCTCATCGCTGCTGGAGGAGAACTCCTTGGAGCCACCAGTGCTGCTGACAGACATCAAGACTGAGCCCCCTGAAGAGCTCCTGGCCAGTGACTGCAACCAGCCCCAGGCTGAGCCTGTGGACCTGTCGCTCAACAAGTCCAAGGGGTCGCTGCAGTCCTCTTCCCAGGTGTCTTCCTCTATCAGGTCCTCACCCATGCTGGTGACACCACCCATCCAGACGCCAGTGGTCTCTATGTCGTCCACGGGCCTGTCGTCCACGGGCCTGTCGTCCACGGGCCTGTCGTCCACCTCGGCCATCCCTGCTGTGCTGTCCCCGGGCTCCATCCTGGCATCCACGCAGGGTAGTGGCGGGCAGCAGATCCTCCACGTCATCCACACCATTCCCTCTGTCAACCTGCCCAGCAAGATGGGCAACCTGCAGACCATCCCTGTGGTGGTGCAGTCCCTGCCCGTGGTCTATACCACCATGCCTACAGATGGGGTCACTGCTGCCATCACTGTGCCGCTCATTGGGGGTGACGGCAAGAACGCTGGGTCTGGTAAGGCCTGTTTTCCATCAGGGCCTGGGCATAGCAGGGGAGGCTGTGGCTTCAGGGTGGGGACATCAGCAGAGTTTTGTATGGGCAGGATGGTTGGAATGAGGATTAGTTGGGGACTGCAAATCAGGATTTTGGGGGCATATAAGCAAAGCTGCTGGAGACCAGGTGGGGAGAGGGTTTTCAGGGCTGGAGGGGGCCAGGCTGACTGAAAGCTGAAAGCCTAGAGGTAGGACCTTCCTGGGCAGGACTGAGTTATGTCAACAGGAACCTGGTGAGGAGGGAAGCTGGGCCTTCTGCTGACCCAGTTCCATGGCCAAGAGGCCTTTTGATCTGCCGGGCTCTTCATCTGGTACCTCTCACCAGGGCCAGCAGCATCATGAGACCAGCCAAGCCCAGGCTCCATAAACGTCCTGTTGGCTCAGCTCCCAGAGCGTGACAGAGCCTGTCCAGTCCCATGGAGCCTGTCTCATCTGGCTGGGTGTGGGAGGAAGCCTGGCATGCTGGTACTGCTGCTGCAGGCAGGCACCATGTGCCTCCCAGTAGGCAAAAGCCCTGCCCTGCCTTTGCCAGAGAAATGCCTCTCTTGCTTGTGGGTCTTCTTACCCCTAGTGTTGCCTTGTGATGGCCGTGGACTCATCCTCTTGTTCTTGATGGGTTCTGAGTTCACACCAGGGACCCACCCATGAATTACAGCTGGTCCCTGGATGCAGCTAGATGGGGCTGGGCAGCTAATTGCATGTTCCAGCCTGGTCGTGGCAGAAGCACAGGCCTCTCAGCTCCTGCCCTGTGAATGCCAGCTGTGCTTGGAGCAGACAGGTGTTGCTGGGGCCCAGGGCTGGCCCCTCTTTGCCCAGTGCCCTGCATGCCTGTGCCGGGCCAGGCTGGGAGAGCTCTGCCTTGGATGCTGCTTGCAGCAGGTTGAGCCATGAGCTTGTGCTGTGAGGGGTCACCTACTGTGTTTCCAAGGCCCCTGCAATTTCCCTGGTCTGTTCCAAGCTTTCACATCAGAGGTTTCCTGCTTCTTTGACCCTGTCATTCCTTGCCCTCCTGCCCTCTTCCCAGCTCTGCTCCCTGTCCCCCTCCCCCATTCTGCAGTCCAAACCCGCTTCCTGTGTGTGCACAGGAATCTACCCCTGCAAAGCTGCAGCCCCAGCTGCTGAAAGGGGTTCTCAGCTGCAGACTCCCAGCTGGCATAAGGAGGGGTCTGGGGGCATGGGACTGGGCTGGGAAGGACCTGCTTTCCTCCCTGCTCTCCTGTGGCAGCTGTTGGGAGAAGTTGCTGCCAGGAAGGGCGGGGGTGGGGCTCAATGCTTGTCTGGGGAGTGTGGCAGGGAGAGAGGGCTGGGCGTGCTCCTCAAGAGCACAGAGCCAGGCTTGCAGCTTAGCTTGCAGACAGAGCCTCTGACTGGGAACCTGGGGCAGCCTGACTGGGATGCTGTGGAGTGTCCAGCTGGCGCCTGTGAACTCAGGTGTCCAGAAGGGGGGTGTTGGAGGGAGAGGGGCTGGCTTCCCTTCACGGGGAGGGGGGGCACTGAGGTGGGCGCTTGGAGGGGTGGGGGGGCGGTTCTCAGTGGGGTGTAGGAGAGAGGGCTCAGATCCTGGAGCAGTGAGGCACAGCTCTATGCCCCCCAACATGCATCCCCTCATAGAGACCTGCCCTTTTGTGGAGGGGTTCTGGTCAGTGTGGCTGGGTGCAGGGCTGAGGCAGAGGCCTGTGGGTTCACGAGCCCCCGTGATCCACCCCGTGCCACCCATCCTCTTCTGGCTCTCGTGCTGCGCCCTTTGTCAGGGTGCCTGAGCTCGGGCGCCAGCTCCAGACTGGTCTGTCTCCCACACTGCCTGGAACTGCATGCCAGGGCGGAGGCTCCCTGCCCTGGTGGCTATGTGAGGGGAGGGGCTGGGGCCTGAGTGCTGGGGAGCCAGGCTGGCTCTGCGGTTGAGTGGCTGTGCGTCAGGAGGGGAGGAGGCTGGCTGTCTGCCCTCCATCCCACTGGGAGCGGGTGGGGGGAGCTGGCAGGCTGCCGCCCCCCTCAGCGGGGTGGGGTCCTGACCTCCCCTGCCAGGCCCCCCTCCGGCTCCAAGGCTGCTCTGGTTCCAGTTAGACCGGCTCCCCCCGCCCCACCCGCCGCAGGCTTCCTGCCTCCCATCCTGCGAGCGGAGAACAGCCTGCCTCCCATCCTGCGAGCGGAGAACTCCCAGGCGCTTCCTGCCAGAGGCCCTGGCTGGTTCCCTGCTGGCTGGGGTCACATGTGGAAGTCGGGGCTGGAGAGAGGAGGGGGCTGGAGAGAGGAGGGGGGTGTCCTGGTAGGGGAGGGTGCACAGCTGAGATGAACCAGGGCTCTGCAGAGGAGGGACGAGCCTCCCTGACCTGGCAGCACCATCGGCCACAGGCTGGGGGGGGGGAAGGAGAAGGGTGGGGTCAGATCTTTGGCCTGAGCCATGTGGGTGCGGCTTGTGTCTGGGTCTGTGCTCTGGGGCCCAGCCCTGTCCAGGCTGCCAGATCTCCTGCGTGCCATCTGCTCTGCCAGCCGATGAGCTGAACCAGGCATTGTGCTTAGGGCATGATCAGGTCCCCGTGGGGGGTGACCAGCAGTCCTCCAGCCTACCTACAGCTCTGAGCCCTGTTCTGGGCCCAAGCTATTCCCTCTCTCCCTTGTGCATGACCATGCCAGCACCCAAGCTGCACAGACCTGCACCCTGGTTTCCATGGGCTCTGAGCTGCTGGAGCCCACTTCCACTGGGCAGAGCAGCCAGCTCTTCTGACCTTGGATGGGCTGCTGCAGTGCTGGCAGGCAGAAGAGCAGGGCCCAGGTTGGAGGGTGGCCTGCTCATGGCCCCTGCCCTGTCAGCGTGGGGGGAAGGAGGAAGCAGGACAGGACAGTTGCACCCCTTAACCACCCCCAGCAGCAACATGGCTTCTACCCATGCAGCTGGCCAAAGGGCTGGAGAAGGCATGTTTCCAGCTTCTGTTTTGTCCATGTTATTGGCAGCTGTTAGGGGAGTGATGGGCCATGGGGTTGTGATGTGGCTCCCTGCCCGTCATGCCCACAATGGCAGCAGGAACCTGCTAGGAGTCTGGGCCACATCTGGTTCTGCAGTTAGATGCTGCCTTGTGGCATCCCCTGCCCCTCCCCCTGCAGCCCTGGGTCATGCTAGAGCTGTGTGGTTTGAGGGGTGAATGGGGAGAGAGTGCCCAAGGATGGGGGGAGTTGGCGGGGGGGTGGGGGCACTGGGACTGGTGTGGGAAGGGGGTGTCCAGAGGTGGAGGGGGCGGTTCTGGCAACTGTACACCCTGTGGAGGGAGGGGGCCCTGTGGGTGCTGGACTGGAGAAGGATGCTATGTTGTGGCTGTGCTTCCTTGCATCCTGCCCTGTTTTCAAGCGCTTTCTGTTTCCTCCCCCAGTGAAAATCGACCCCAGTTCCATGTACCCCATGGAAATGAACAGCGACAGTGAAGACAGCGGCACAGAGGAAAGTAGCTCAGCTCCCTTCCAGGACCTACAGCGAGAGTGAGTGACAGCAGTTTTTTCACTGTGGCTGAGGCAGGCTTGCCCCTGGGTGGATGGCGTAGGTGGCTGAGGAGTCCTGCAAAGGGGTTGGAGGACCAAAGCTGCCTATGGAGCTGGTGACCACTCTGCCAGGACCCTGCAGTGGCCAAACCCATTGCCAAACTGTACAGTTGTCACGGCACTTGGGTCTCATTATCCCAAGGCAGGCCAGTCCATGGTTACACTATGTGTTGGGGGGTAGTCTGGTTTCTCTCTCCCATCACATTTAATTGGCTGTCCAGGGTGCTTGGGCTGGTGTCATCAGAGAGCAGGGCTCTGGCTGGGGTGGGGCAGGCCAGCCCTGGCAACTGGAGAAGCTTTCTCTGCTTTTCCTGAGTGAGATCTAATATGCCATGGGGGAGGGGTTGTCTGCCTGTCTGAGAACAGGGTGGGATCTGGCATAGGGTGATAGTCCTGTATTCCCCTGGTAGGTCAGCAGTGGCCCGGATGCAGCGAGCAGAATCCCCAGACCTGAAGAAGAGGCGAATTCACCAATGTGACTTCGAGGGCTGCAATAAGGTCTACACAAAAAGCTCCCACCTCAAAGCACACAGGAGGATACACACAGGTATGGCAGGGTGGGGAGGCAGCCTCTGCCACATGGCTGCCAGCCCAGTCCAGCTCAGCCAAGGCAGTGGAGTCCTGGACCCCCTCCCTACATGGATTGGGGTGGAATCTCCATGCAAGGGGGGGGAGGAGCTGTCACACCCCAGCCCCTGCTGTCTGCTGAAGTGGACCAGCTGCAGACCTAGGACACCCTCTCTCTCCATCCTACTGTAGAGCCTGAGGAGCTGAGACTCTCAGATACTCCTGTAAGACCAGGCATGACCATCTGGCACTTTACCAGTGTTTCAGATCCTTTGTACTGTGCACCCCACCCAAGCCTAGCTGTAAGCTCTTCTCTCTAGGTGTGGCTGGCTGAGTGCAGGAGTTTCAGGGCTCAGCATGGATTCAGCCAGGAGGATCCAGATCTGGGAGTTCCCTGCTGGTTTGAGATATGTGCAGGGTGAAGAGGGGGGAAAGCTATTTAACTTCAGAGAAATTGCAGCTTCTGGCCTCAGTGGTTAAGTGGTGCCCATAACCATCCTGCTCACTGTGCTTTTAAGATGCCAGGACTGCATTTGGGCGTGGAGTCCTTGCTCCTTTTGCTTGCCTGCAACCTAGTGGTTCACATCAGAACTACACATGCTTCTCCCAGCCGGACACAGCCCTCTATTGTCTGTGGAAGTCCTTGGTATTTGCCTGGGAAGTTGTTATATCCCTGGGGCTTAGGAACCCTTTGTGATCCATAGGGATGAGGAGAGGAGCTGTCTGTCCTTCCCAGGTGGCAGCTGGGCTGGCATAGGAGTGAGCAGGTAGAGTGTAGACACCTGGCTTATCTATTGCAAGTTGAGCTGTGTTATGTTGCTAGGGTCTTGGGGCTCTGGTACTAGGGGCTGAGCTAGTACAGTAAGGGGCATTGCTGGAACATAATCCTGGAAGGGCATTCATTCTGGGTAGCTCAGAGGAGGGGTTTGCTGATCAGGCCTTCTGTCTTCCCACTCCTCCACCCCAGACAGTAGTCTGCTGTGTTTTGTAGGAGAGAGTTTTGTCAGCATGTATAGGCCTGCTAGTGTAATGTTGCCCCTTCCCCAGCTGCTGCACCCAGCCCTGCCTGGTAAGGTCATATTGCAGGGCTTCATACAGGAGCTGCCTCTGGCTGGGTGGAAATAGTTAAACAGGAGGTGTTCAGCCCTCCAGCTTCCTTTTCTCCTTGTACAGATCTTGACCCTTAGGGCATTCTGTCCCTTCCAGCTGATTGCTGCAAGTTGGGGGCAGTAGAGTCCCTCTTCCTGAATTATCTGTGCAGGAGGATCATAGTCTGAGTGGGGTTTTACTGGTTAACTGGGGACCGAGTTGGGCCCCGTGTATCTCTGTCCAGAATGTGTGTGGGTGGAAGAGCTGCAGGGAACAGTGTTTCATTAACTTAGCTGACCACTAGATGGCCTCATTACTGCACACAGTGTGGCGGAAGCAGCCAATGCATGAGAGGCGAGACTCAAAAAGAAGCAGGCCAGCTGGCCAGGCAGCTGTCACCCAGGCTGAGGCAGAGCTTGGGCCTTTCTATCTGGCTGAGAGACTTGCCTTACCTTTGCCCCACCTCCATGAGGCAGTGCAGTACTATTATCCCCATTTATGCAAGCAGAAACTAAGGCTCATTGAGACCAAATGACTTGCCTAATGAAGTCCTACAGGAAGTCTGTAGCAGGGGATTCAGCTTGGGTCTCTGTCAGTCCAGGCCAGCACCAGCCTCCCCCACGGTCTTCTAATGAGCTGGTCACAGATCAAGTCCATAACCTCAGAGGAAGTCTAAATGTGAGTGCAGGCCTCCTGGGATCAATAGACTGCTCAGTTAAGGTCCCCCAAAGAGAGACTGAATCTAAACTACATCAGCAGAAGCCAGGGAACGCAGCAGTCCTGTACTGGCCAAGGGAGGCCTTTTTCTCTGGCTGTGATGGGGATGTAGAGCCCTAGTGCTGCAACTCAAACTGCCCTCCCGTCTGGTCTGGCAGCCTAGGTGCTCTGCCCTAGGAATTTGGTGTGTGTGTGTGTGTGTAGTGGTGTTTCATTTAAATCATGGAAAAATGTGTATTTGGGGTTACTTTTTTCTAACTGAAAATTAGGTTGTTTTTTTTAAATCGGAGAAAACCAGGATCCCTGCTAATCACATAGCCACAGACTCCCCCCTTTCCCCTTTAAGTCTCCGAAGTGCTCCTGAAAACTAACAGTGGTTTTTTTGTCTATATTTGGTTAGGCTTTTCTTTTAATTTGTTATCCTGCACTGAGACCCAAGACTCCAAACTTCTGTTCAGAAGAGGTTTGATTACTCCTGAACTGATTCAT